CCTCATCTTTTCAAAGATTATGTAAAAATAATATCGTACATCTATATATTTTCTCTGGTAATGGAAGACTAGATTCTTTGCAAGTTTTATAATAGACATGTTATCACCGTACATAATAGTAAAACCTTTTTTTATTGTGGCATAATACCTCAAGTAACTTTGCTTGAGAAGCACAAGAAGTTGAGGCTACCAATTATGTTTTTATTGTAGATAAAGTCATTATAGATTGTTTTTTATATGGCAATGAAATATCTTTTGACCCATCATTAACACATAACCAGGAATGTTTTTTATATCATTTGTATCACCTTTATATATTAGTATATTCATTTATTTCATTGCATTCATATCTAGTTATGTTTGCTTTGACTATAATACTTCAAAATTAATTGTCCATTTTTATATATTAATATATTATTTTTGCTGCACTAAGATGAATTTATGTATGGTGTTCTATGTATGTGTTTATAATGCTAATTGCATGCATAATATATGGTCTTGCAATGGTTATATACATTAGACTTCTTATAATTTGTTCGTAAAGAATAGCATTTACCTTCCTTCATATAGCATCTTTATATAACTTCAAACCTAGGTTGTTAAAGTGACAACAAAGTTGTGGTCTTTTATTTGGAATTTATTTAAAATTTCTTGTGTGTACTTCTTTTAAGTGATGAAAATTCCTTGTAATGACTACTTTACTTCAATCCCAATAAAGTAGTGTATTAATCTCAAGTTTGTCATCTCAAGCTCCTTCATTATATAGTTTTTAAACTCTATAGCTATTATCTCATCAAGTCTTTTGAAAAATAAAATCATCTACATACAAATAGACTAGTAGCATCTTCTTATATTTTTTTAATTTTTATGAATAATGTATGTTTTTTAAGTTCATTTATGAAAGTCTTTTTTCTTTAAGTACGTATCTATTTGACTATACCAAGATCTAGGTGCTTGTTGTAGTCCATAAAGTACTTTCTTCAATTTTAAACTTTATCTTCATTCTTCTTTTGTATAAAATTAAAAAGTTGCTCAATATGCATATACTCTTATAAATCTCTATGTAAAAAAGCTGATTTTACATCTATTTCAAAAACAAACCATATATATTGTAATGGAATTGAGAGAATCAACCATATGGTATCTTGTTTAACCATTAGAGTAAATACTTATTTATACTTAGCTCCTAACTCTTAACTATATCACTTTGCCACCAAACAAGCCTTATATTTCTTCATAACTCCATTTTCATTCACCGTTGTCTTGTAAATCGATTTGACACAAAATAGTTTCTGCCTTTAAGAAAGTCTTATTAATTCCTATGTCTAATTTCTTTCGATGGCTTAAATCTCTTCTAACACGACCCCTTTACCATTTTGTTTCTTTGATGGCCTCTTTAAAGGTGATAGGATCATTGTTAAAAAGTAAAGCATATTAAGCATTTGTTTCTTTATCAAATAGTTAATCTTTATTAACATAGTCCATCATCCAAATTGGTTTTCTCTTTGCACGTGATTCTCCTGGTTTTGGCAATGTTAATGATGTTTGTATTTTAGAGGAATCTAAAGCTAAAATTTAGTGATCATTTTGACCATATTCTTTTTTCATCAAGATTAATATACAAGTTATTTGTTTGTTACACTAACTTGTCATAATTCAACCTCCATTTCTTATTCTTGTCAAATACTACATCTCTACTAATGATAATTTTTAAAGTGTTTGGATTATGCAACTTGTAAGGTTTAGAAGAATCATTTGTACCAAGAAAAATACATTTATACTTTTATTGTATAGCTTTTGGTGTTTCTGATATAGTATTTATGCAAAGGCCAAGCATCCAAAAATCATGAAATGATTACCAATAGGCTTATAAACACTTTATGCCTCCTTATGTCTCATGTTTTTCACTATAAATATGGGATATCTATTTAGTATATGCACACTTCAATTGAATGTTTCAAACAAAAAAAATTTTAGTAATTTACATTAGTCAGCATGCTTAGTACCATATTTATATTAGTACAATTCTTTCTTTCTGATGCAACATGTTTTTTTTTTGTGTATATGATGTCTTAAATTGCCTTAAATTCCATGTTTATTGTAAAAATCTTTGAAGTTTTTTCATGTGTGTTTTCCCCTAGTCACTATAAAACATTTTAATCCTGATGTTTTTTTTATTCTCCATAAAAGCTTTGAACCACTTGAATACTCCCAAAGCCTTTGATTTTTCATATAGAAGTTGTACCAAGTTTTCCTATTAAAATCATTAGTATGAGTAATGAAGTATCTATCTTTTTCATTTTAAGCTGGAAAAATAGGACCACAAATATCATAATGGATCAGCTCTAATGGCTTTTATGCTCTCTCTTTTTTAGAATATCTCTTATTGTTACTTATAATAATACAAGTATTAGATATTGTATTTAAATAGATGATTTGAAGGAAAGCAATTACCATTTGCTTATCAAGAAGAGTTTTTAACCCTTTAAAATTTAGGTATTCATATTCTGTATGTCACGACGTGGTTGCACTTTCTCCAGCTAAGTAATATAATTGCAATTAAACTTTTCTTCTAATCCTCAATATAGAAGGCATCATCTTTAATAATAATTGAATACCCTTTTTTCATGAAGCTACCCCAAGCTAAGAAGATTACTTTTCAACTATAGAGTATAGGAAACAACAATAATGATATGCAGCGATTATTATTAGCTTGGATATTAGTATATCTTTTTCCCATTACAACCACTCTAGAATCATCTCCAAATCTCACAGTTGTTCTATAAGATTTATCCAATTGTTAAAATATAGATTTATATCTACACATGTGGTAGTTAAAACTTGTGTCCAAATACCATAGGTTTGAGGTTTTTTTTTTGTCTACTTCCTAACATATAGTATAGCCTCATCTTGATTCTTCTTATATTGTTCTATAAATTTTTCCTTTTCAATCTTGCATTTTGTCAAGTTGGTGTAGTTTTTAGATTGATAATGACTATATGATCACATCAATAACATTTGATTCTAAATTTATCAATCTTCATGCTTGAAAATTAAGTTCTTTCTCCCTTTTTCTTTTTGAATCATGAACTTCATCTCTCTTTTCTCTTCATCTTTCTTAGTATTTGCCTCTTCCGTGTCTTCTTCCTTGATATGTCATAGCTTATAATGCATGTTCTTTTGTTGTTATTGTTTATTGTTGAAGTTTTTTTTATAAATAAGCAATGAATCATGTAGTTCATCAATTGAAATTGGGTCAATGTTAGTAGACTCTTCAAATTCAGGGGCGGAGCAAGAAAAAAAAACTAAGGGGGACCAAATTAAAAATTAAGGGGAGTAAAGTTAAATTTTTAATTATTTTTACAATATTTACAAGAGCTGAGAAAAAAATTTCCTGCAGGGGCCGGGGCCCCTGCCAGCCCCCCTGCCTCCGCCACTATCTTCAATTGAATAAACAACAAAGGTAAACCTTGATATCATTGATCACAAATCCTTTTCTATCACTGTAATATCTTCTATTTTATCTCTTAAGAAATCTCACTTTACTAGCTATAGCTAGTTATTTAAAGAAATACTTATCTACTGACTCTCCTAACTTCATTTTAAGAGTTTCAAACTCTTTATAAAAAGCTTAAAAATATTGTTTCACTTAGGTTGTCACTTGATATTTTTTCTTCATAAAGTCTCATATTTGCTTGGAGCTATCTTTCTAAAGAATAGTATGTATATTATCTATAGCTTGAAACAAGTAGTTGTCTGCTTTGAGGTCTTTCAGATTTTATACATCATGAATCTTTTATGTGATGCATCTTGATATTTCTTCTTTGTGAATATCAAACTCTATAAAATGCCAATTCACTTTAGATCTTAAAAGGTTTTCCATCAACATACTCTAAATGTCATAATGACCATCAAAGCATGGGGTTGCATGCTGCACAAAGTAATCCAAATGCTAGTGGTGATTGCTACTGTAATTTCAGAGTTGCTTTCGGTCACTGTTCACTTGTGATTCACTCTCCTCACAAGCTTTCTCTCGTGTCTCACTCCCCTCATAATTTTAAGGCTTTGATACCATATGTTAGTGCAAGAATAGATTGAAAAAATAGCAGACCGAAAGGAATATGAAATTTACCATTTATTCAAATAAGTTCTATCTTAAATAAACAGTGCATAACTTGGAAGGAAAGAAAGGAAATAGGGATCACAATCCCATGATTAAAATCTTACCTAACTAGCTAGGATTATTGCTAATAGCATAAACAACTTCCTAATGACTTGGTATCTGCTATGAAATAGCATTGCTGGTTGATTCTCTAGAGAATAGTTCAGCACCTGATTCTCTCCTAAAATGATCTTCCACCAAGAACTGTTAACAGCTTTTTATTCCAAATTTTCTCCCTTAAACTGGTAATATTTACACACCAGTTTACAAGAAAATTTCTGAAATTCTTTCATCAAGTAAACTCAACTTCTAAAAAATTGTTGGTTTAATCGACTTGGTCATTATATCTGCAATTTGATCTCCACTTCGATAAGGAGCCATGTCAAATACCTCTCATCCTTGCAGAGAATGCACAGAAAATAATATCTGTTAACAGCTATGTGTTTGCTTCTGGCATCGAAAGCTGCCATTAGACTTCGACTTACTGTGCCAACTTCGTGCACCTGATAAATTCTTGGGGACAACAGGACAGGACTGCTTGTAATAAATAGAAAGAACTAGAGAAATAATTGTTGGCAAACCAATTTATTAAAGAAAAGGGAAAAATCAACTTTCACTCTACAATATAAAGAACTGAATCTGCTACCAAGGGAAAGCAGCAGAAGAAGAACGAGCAAAATTGCTAATGGAACAGCACAGAGAAAGTATCAATTATCAAAATGTTTTCTGTGGTTATTAATCATCATAATCACAATCACATCTTTCATCAGCAACATCATTACAAAGATCTCACAGTCACATCTTTCATCAGCAACATCATTACAAAGATCATCACCATCATCATATGCTTCTTGAACATCATCATCATCCTTGTTTTCATCTTGTGACATATGCTTCTTGAACATCATCATCATCCTTGTTTTCATCTTGTGACCCGAAACCATCATTTTGGTTCATGTCCTCTAATTCAAGATCTTCGCCATTTGTATTAGACAACTTCTCAACATTGTCAGAGAGATTCAGCGTAGTTTCTTGGCATCCTCAGTCCCCTATAAGAAAACATGAATGACTTACATGTAAATGCATGGGAACCCAAAAAAGTTAAACAGGGAGCAAACGGTTTTTTATGCTTATGCAGTTACTAAATGCTCATCTAGAAAGGGAAAAGAAAAGGAAAAAGGAAACAGAATAATAGTCCATGAACAAGAAAAAATTTTAAGGAAAAAACTCTTCCTTTATCCAAAACAAGGTGCACTGTTCATTTTCTTGTGTGATGCCAGTCAACAAAATTTGTGAAAAGATCGATTCATACTTGGGTACAGTCATGTTTGTTTATCTAGAACTCAAAACTTATGGAACACGAAAAGTAGGAAGCCTTCACAAACATAGATAGAGGCATAAGCCTTCAAGTAAAACCCGTAAACTGAGGGAAGACCTTGAATAACTCTTTTATATAAGAGTATGGCTATTATTTATAGTTAATACTTTAGATTTATTACTTTCATCTCAATCATTTGTGAGAACAGCTCCTGACCTTGTCATTCAACAGTAGTCAGCAAAAAAGATTATTATAAAGAGGTTCAGAATATATCTTTGCACCAAATGAATAATACAAGTGAAAACAAGTGACATGTTATAAGTTGAACAGAAATTTGAACATTTCCCTTGTGATAATTTAGATCAGAACATGGGACTGCCTGTTTAAGAACATGCAAGAGGAACTAAAATTAATTTAACTAAACTAAAAACAAAAGCATTTGTATAACGCTTCAAGGACGAGAAGACACAGAAGAGAAGACACAATAAATGACGCAACTTACAGGTTCCTCAAAGAGTTTCTCCAATGCATCATAGTTGATCTTGGAACTGCGTCTCTGACAAAGAAATAATGTTCACATTTCTCACTAAACAAAAGAAGCAGCATGATCCAAAGATTCCACGGTGAGAATTCTAGTGAACTTTTAAAAAAATGAAGGTACTTTTTAGAGACACTTGTACTGAAAGCTTGCATGTGCATAGTGAACCATGAATGATTGATAGGAAGTACTTGTAGATTAATTATTTGTTCTTTTTCTCATGAAATCAACAGAAAATATGACTAGCCTTCTTTATTCTTTTGGAATGGATAATATTGCATTGCAAAAGGTTTTGAGTCAGCAAACCCCAATGTATTATGGGTCTGTCCAAAAACGTTTCTAGACTATTAAATGTCATTTGTCTTTCACTTTTGAGTTTTACTTGAAATTTCTAACTTCCTATCGTAATATGAAGATTTCAGATATCTCTATTGAGTGCCCTTGTGCACCAATCTTTAAAGTTCCAACAGAAGAATGTTCCAGAGTCTATTTACATTTCAACCTACCAGATTGTACATAAGAAACCTTCCCAAATGATTCGAAAAAAAAAAAGCCAGAACTTTTCTTCTTTTTTTATCTTTTAAGGTGATTGTGAACATGATAGAATACATAGACTGCTTGTCTTAAATTTTGACACGTGTTGATGCAATATCCTTCTAGATTCTCGTTAATAGCTGCATGAATCATTTAAAAAGTAGTAGGGCATACCAAGTGACAATAATGTTCTTATTCACTGCCTTAATTCAGATTATATGCCTAAGATTCATGAGGTTTGCTCTATCGAAGCCACTATTTTGTATCCTTGGTCATATGAAAAAAATAAAACGAAGAAAAGGTAGTAGGGCATACCAAGTGACAAAACAATATGACAAGAAGCTGAGAAAATGACTGATAAAACTAGCTACCCAAATGAAAAATCTTAGATAAATTAGTTGCACCATAGCAGTTAGCTAACTAAACAAGAAGTTTAAAGCTGGGTTGCATCTTTTTGCTGCTTCTTCAGCAAGGGCTAAAAGAGGAAAATATAATTAGTTAGCTGCCTTTTTGGTTGAGTAGCAGAAAGCTAGTTCAAAATTTCTATAATGTCACTTTTCACCATGGTATTCTTTCATCATTCCTTCCCACAGCATTTCATCAATCTACTTCAACTCCCACCCTTGTTTTTGTTATGCTCATATTTAAGATTTCTTATATTTTTAGAGAGGTCAGGAAAGTATAGCTCAGTTCTACATTCTTATCTTGAACATCAAGCAAATGTACTAATTTTCATATATATTTTGACGCATGGATGCATTTATTTGTTTGTAATAAGCAGGCAAGAGTGCACCTACATATTCACACATCAGATAATGGTGTTCTGTATTGATACACCCAAAATTGTACATTGAAATATCACATAATCCATTAGCAAGAAATTATTCATGCATATGAGAATGGAGTTTATAACTTGATTCACATGATCCAAAAGACATCAACTAGATTAGGCCCTTCCTATGACTAATTATATGGTTAAACTAAAATTCAACATGACTGCCATAGTTGTTCCATATTTATTGCTGACAATCCTAGAATCTGATTTTCAAAACCCATGGTCCACATTGTTCAAATTCTATTGCCAACAACCCCAGTTTTTCTACTTCCAAATTCTATTCTTTTAAGTTAAGAATTTCACAATAGAAATGCTATCACAAGGACAGTGTTATTAGAAGCAAAATTATAGAAATTATAGAAATAAATTCTTGTATCATGTCCATGTCTTATACCTTCGTAGTTATCATTTGGTGGACACTTGCACACACACACACACACACATATACTTTAAACTTTTTACAGCCATGTTTATATATAATTAATTGATGCATATCTTAGATAATAAATATATTGAGATTTAATTTCTAGAAATAATAAGATTTTAAAGAAGCATTTTCAAGAAAAAGGAAACACACGTAGGAAGCAATTCAGTTGACAACGCAGGTTTGGTGCTTTAGGGCTACCCAGCTGTATATCCCTGGATTCTCTCTAAAGATCTCAATTATTGTCTAGGCCTAGTATTAAAGAATCTGATTATGTTTATTAGATGCTAGAATTAAGGGTTTTGATACTTCTTGATGTATATATATATTGTAACTCTCTTAGTGAAAGGGGGACAGAAAACATTTCAGAATTTCTCTTGTATTATCTTGTCATGGTATCAGAGCCAAAATTCTGAAATCAATTCATCTTGTGTCTAGTTCCTTATCTGGTTCTTTTATTCTGTTTTTCTTGGACTTGATCTTTTTGTTCTTGTTTCTAGTTAAATCTTGTCTATGGAACGATCTGAACATTTTATTGTTCGATTTACTGGAAAGAACTATTCTGCCTGGGCTTTCCAGTTTCAGATTTTTGTCAAGGGAAAGGAATTATGGGGTCATATTGCTGGGACAGTTCCTGCACCTGACAGTGAGCAGGAAAAGGAGAAATATGTGAAATGGGAGGTGAAGGATGCTCAGATTATGTCTTGGATCCTTGGAAGTATGGAACACTCCATGCTTCTCAATCTCAAGCCTTACAAATCATCTAGAGAAATGTGGGATTACCTAAAGAAAGTTTACAACCAAAGCAATACAGCACGAAGGTTTCAATTGGAACTTGAGTTGGGTCAACTCAATCAAGGTAGTATGTCAATACAAGAATTTTATTCTTCCTTTGTAAATCTTTGGGCTGAGTACACAGACATTGTGTATGCAAGTGTACCTCTTGAAGGACTTATTGTTATTCAAAGTGTGCATGAGACTAGCAAGCGTGATCAATTTTTAATGAAGTTAAGAGGGGAATTTGAAGCAATCAGGTCCAACCTGATGAATAGAGAACCAGTTCCTTTCTTGGATATTTGTGTAGGAGAGCTTCTCAGGGAAGAACAACGGATCATTACACAAGCTGTCTTGGAGCAGAAAGCTCAAAATTCTACTCCAATCCCTGTTGCATACACTGCTCAAGGGAGGTTTAAAGGAGGTAGAAATATGTCAAATGTTCAGTGTTATAGCTGCAAAGGATTTGGGCACATTGCCACTACTTGTACCAAAAAATTCTGCAACTATTGTAAGAAAACAGGGCATATCATCAAAGATTGCTCCATCCGGCCTCCAAAGAAATCTGAAACCGCCTATAATGTCTCGGTTGGTTCCTCCAATACTCCTAGTCCTGGTCAGTCCTCTATTACCCCTGAAATGGTCCAACAAATGATAGTTTCTGCCCTTTCTGCTTTAGGCCTTTCAGGTAACCGAAATTCCATTCCTAAGCCTTGGTATTTTGATTCTGCTGCTTCTAATCACATGACCAACACTGTCTTACCTTTAAATAATGTTAAAAAATATAAAGGTAATCTTCATATTCGTACTGCCGATGGTAATCCTTTGTCTATCACAGCTGTTGGTGATATTTCAGCCCTTCTAAATACTGTCTTTGTGTCTCCTAAGCTGTCCACTAATCTCATATCTGTTGGCCAATTAGTTGACAACAATTGTGATGTTCATTTTTCCAAATCTGGTTGTTTTGTGCAGGATCAAGTGTCCGGGAAGATGATCGTGAAGGGACCTAAAGTGGGACGTCTATTTCCCTTGTTTCTATCTCCCTCTCCTATGTTAAATTATGTTGCATGTAATGCTGCTCACTGTGATAATCAGGTGTGGCATAGACGTTTAGGACATCCTAATTCTCATGTACTTCGAGTCTTGTTTAAATCTGGTTTATTAGGAAATAAAAATTCAACTTCTTCTCATAATGATATTGTTGATTGTGCATCTTGCAAACTTGGTAAAAGCAAAACACTTCCTTTTCCATTGCATAAAACTCACACCACCAAACCTTTTGAAATCGTGCATACTGATGTATGGGGTATTGCACCTGTCATTTCTCATGAACATTATAGATATTTTGTTACATTTATAGACGATTTCACTCGTTTTACTTGGGTATATTTTCTTCGATCTAAAAGTGAGGTTTTCTCTGTGTTTAAAGCCCTTCTTGCCTTAGTTGAGACACAATTTTCTGCCAAAATTAAAATTCTGCAATCTGATTCAGGTGGTGAATATATGTCAAATGCATTTCAATTTTTTCTTCAAAGTCATGGGATCATATCACAACATTCTTGTCCTTTCACCCCACAACAAAACGGTGTGGCTGAAAGAAAGAATCGTCATCTTCTTGATGTTGTTCGAACTCTTCTCCTTGAGTCATATGTTCCTTCTCATTTTTGGTGTGAAGCTTTATGTACTACTGTTTATTTAATTAATCGATTACCATCTCCTCACTTGAACAATGATTCTCCCTATGTTCGTTTGTTTGGACATGCACCAAATTATTCCAATCTTCATATTTTTGGATGTGTTTGTTTTGTTCACCTTCCTGCACATGAGAGAAATAAACTTACTGCCCAATCCGTCAAGTGTGCTTTCTTAGGCTATGCTGTCACCCAAAAAGGATTTCTTTGTTATGATCCACATGCACGTCGAACTCGTGTCTCTAGGAATGTTATATTTTTTGAAAATCAGCCTTTCTTTTGCACCCAACAGCCTTCTGTATTTCCATCTTTATCTGTTTTACCATCTTTTTCTAAGTCGTCAACACTAATACAAAGGTTTAAACCTGGTTATGTTTATCATAGACGCACTCCTGCCTCTGCTCTTTCTCCAGGTATCACCGAGGTTCCTTCACATCTTCCTGCAACATCTGATCCTGTTCTGCCCATTTCCTATGATCCCCCTCCTCTTCGTAGAAGCTCTAGACCTCACAAACCTCCTGAAAGGTATGGTTTTTCCACTCCTGTGGCTATGTCTACTACTCTCTCTTCTATTTCCATTCCCACTTGTTATAAACAGGCTAGCAAACATGAGTGCTGGAAACAAGCCATGGAGGCAGAACTTCACGCACTTAAGGCCAATCATACTTGGGACATTATTTCTTGTCCTTCACATGTTAAGCCTATTGGGAGCATGTGGGTTTATACTGTGAAACTCAAGTCTGATGGATCTTTGGATAGATACAAAGCTCGATTGGTTGCTCTTGGCAATAAACAACAATATGGCTTCGACTATGAAGAAACCTTCGCACCCGTTGCTAAGATGACTACGGTGAGAACACTTCTTGCTATTGCAGCCTCTAAAGCCTGGCCTTTATATCAGATGGATGTAACCAATGCCTTCTTGCATGGGGATCTTAAGGAAGAGATTTATATGACACTTCCACCTGGTATGTCCATAAAGGCTTCTAATGCAGTTTGCAAACTAAAACGCTCTTTGTATGGGTTGAAACAAGCACCTAGAGCCTGGTTTGAGAAGTTTCGCAACACTCTTCTCACCTTCTCCTTCACACAAAGTCAATATGATTCATCCCTTTTCTTTTACAAGACCACCACTGGTATGGTATTTCTCTTAGTTTATGTTGATGATATTATCCTCACTGGTAATGACATTGGGTTGATCACCAAGCTTCAACATATGTTACATAGTACATTTCAAATGAAAGATCTTGGACATCTCACATATTTTTTGGGGCTGGAAGTTCACTCTAGAGATCATGGTTTGTTCTTAAATCAACATAAATATATTCAGGATCTCATTGAGCTTGCTGATTTAAAGAATGCTACTGCTGTTGATACACCAATGGAGGTGAATGTGAAATACCGAAAAGATGAAGGCGAGCTTTTGCCTAATCCTTTTTTATATCGGCAACTTGTTGGTAGTCTTATCTACCTAACAATTACAAGGCCTGATATCTCCTATGCTGTCCATATAGTTAGCAAATTTATGCAGGCACCTCGACATCTTCATCTTGCTGCAGTTCGTCGTCTTATTCGATACTTAATTGGGTCCCCTACTCGTGGGTTGTTTTTTCCCAAACATTCTACTCTTACCTTGACTTCCTATAGTGATGCGGATTGGGCTGGCTGCCCAGATACTAGAAAATCTATTACAGGCTGGTGCATTTTTCTTGGAGATGCCTTGATCTCTTGGAAGTGTAAGAAGCAGGATTGTGTCTCTAAATCTTCTACAGAGGCTGAGTATCGAGCCATGTCAGCAGCTTGTTCTGAAATTGTGTGGTTACGTGGTCTTATTTCTGAACTTGGGTTCCCCCCTACTGCTCCTACTCCACTTCATGGTGATAATACTAGTGCTATTCAAATAGCTGCAAATCCGGTCTACCATGAACGCACCAAGCACATAGAGGTGGACTGTCATTATATTAGGGAGGCCTTTACTCGCGGTGTTATCACTCTTCCTCATCTCAATACTGCTCTTCAAATAGCTGATGCCTTTACAAAAGCCTTGACACGCCAACGACATAAGTTTCTCAGTCGCAAATTGATGTTGTTCGACCTACCCGCATCAATTTGAGGGGGGATGTCAATATATTCTCTTTTATTTCATTTTTTTAATAGCTATTAGTCTTTCTTTTGTAGCTGTCAGTATATTCTCCTTTTCTTATTCTATTTCTTTCATAGCTGTCACTATATTCTTCTTTCTTTGTTTAATTTCTGTCATAGCTGTATATCCCTAGATTCTCTCTAAAGATCTCAATTATTGTCTAGGCCTAGTATTAAAGAATCTGATTATGTTTATTAGATGCTAGAATTAAGGGTTTTGATACTTCTTGATATATATATATATTGTAACTCTCTTAGTGAAAGGGGGACAGAAAACATTTCAGAATTTCTCTTGTATTATCTTGTCACACATATACTTTAAACTTTTTACAGCCATGTTTATATATAATTAATTGATGCATATCTTAGATAATAAATATATTGAGATTTAATTTCTAGAAATAATAAGATTTTAAAGAAGCATTTTCAAGAAGTTTAGCAGATTTAGCAGGAACTGAGTTCCTAGCTTCTGCTACTCGTTTATGTCCTTCAAATAAAGTTTCAAAGAAGATTAATCAAATGACATAATCCCATAGCAGGAAAATAAAAATTAAATACAAGTGCAATTTTTGACCTGGAAAGAGTTGCAAGTACGATCATAGCAGCCATGCATGCAGGCTTACTATTTGAGCAGTTGACATATTCCTCCATATTGTCAACACATTCACTTTGTAAATCATATGTATCATAGAATATGAATTGATGCAAGATGAACAAAACATAAATCAAATAATTGTCACTATAAAAACTTTTTAGTTTATAACTAAAAATGTAATGTTGAAATTTTTCTGGTGATGACTGATCCTACAGGTTATATTTGTTGTTCAAATAATTTGGCCAAAACCATAAAAAAAGTCAATTAAAACTCAACAAGTGATGTTACAAATGCAGGAATGGTGAGCATTGTTTTGGGGGGAGTTGGGGGGGATAAAGCAGGCCACTGGACCACGAGTTTGTATATTGATATTGATGGGTAAAAAAGATCTAATGCTTTTATGAAATAAAAATAGTAAAACTGTTTTTTAAAGAAAAAAATGGAAAATAAGCGTGATTCTTCAAATATAAATTGGAATGTTAAAAATGTCAGTTGATGCATGCATCTTTGTGTATGACAACTATAAGGAAAAAACTAATCAAATCCAAAGGATAGTACAATATGAATTTCTAGATATATTAAAACCTGAAAATTACTTCATATCTCAGAAAGTTTGACAAGGCAATTTGAATGTTTTAGCAGACAAATATAAATAAATAATCAACATTTAAAAAGAACAATAGAAGTCGCTCACTATCTCTTACTTTCAGAGTACCATAAAACTATATTCTTATGCATTCAAATAAAAATTGTAATGGAATCACTAGTTTATAAATCAAAAAATTTATATCATTTCTTATTCATATCACGAAAGAATAGGTACTCGCTACACAAGTTTCTTTAGAAATAGAGACCAATATCATATTTCTTTTGTATTAAGTTTGTATATCTTCTACTAATAATGATTAGCTGGAAAAGAAGGAAATACCTAAGAATAAAAATTAAGCAAACATTGCTTAGGTGTGCAGAATGAATCATCTAATGGTTAAAGTTAAAAAATTTCAAAAGAAGAGCCAACTACATCCTGCCTCTCCATGCTCTAACGAACAGGCTAATCACACTCCAACTCCTGTAAGTACATTACCCAGACTCTCTTCATGGGTGGCCCAAGAAAAGACTCCATTTCTTCTTTACCAAGAAAGATATACCAATACCAAGAAAAGAAAAACCATCAAGGATTGGAGCTTTATTCCCATTCCCAATGCTGAGTGATTTTGTTGAAAAGACATTGCAACAATTTCAACCATGCATTAAAAGAACAAAAGCAAAAGAAATAGATTTTAAAATACAAAAAAAAACTCAAGTCATGCACCTAGACTTGTGATAAGAATTATGAAATTAAAGTATTTTCAGATATCAGTCGTATGTATCTTTGGGGGTCATTGGAACACTTGCCAGACAGTTCATATAAAAATGTAAGTTATATTCTTAGACGAACCCAACAAACTGCAAATATTGAAGAACCTCTTTGACAAGATAATTCACAAAAACCGTTATCATTTTCAAGTAGGGGAAATAGAGAAAATGGAGCCATGTTGAATAATGCTCGTGCTCTTTTAATTTGCTCAGTTGATTACAGGAAATTGAAGAAAGTAATAGAAGTAATAGGATACCAAACCCAGAGATTTTCACTTTTTGACAAGATATAAACGAATGAAAAGGTGCAGAAGGCAACACCGGAACAACACAAATCTTGTTCCCTATGAAAGATTGCATCACACAGACTGCATGTGCACACACTCACTAGAGTGCGCAAAGCAACACTGGGACAACATAATTCTTGTTTAAAATAGTATTTATGATAGCAAAAGGCACTAGAAATCAATTTAGCAGGCACGAAGAAGATTGCATAAGAGTTCCTGAAAATCCTAAGGGAAGCACAAACAAACCTGCATGTGCATGATCGCAGAACGCATGCACTCACATGAGAGAACAAAGTAATACCAGAAGGAGACAAATCTTGAATAATAACATCTATGATAACAGCAATAACAAGCAGGAATATGAAGATGGCATGAGTGTTCCTGTAAATCACAAATCACAGAGCTTGAACATGGAATCACACCAGTTTCTAGATCTTCGGAATAGCAATTCATGGTTAAAAAACTGTGGTTGTTTTTGGAACCTGGAAGATCAGGTGGTTGTTTTTGAAACATGAAAGATCAGATATAACAGAAATGTTGTGTATAGAATTCAGCTATAAGTTGTAGGAAATGGGAAATATGATTATTTTTACTTGAGTTAATTCCTCTGATATTTCTGGCAAGAAGGCCCCCAAAGCAACCGTGAGCAGAGAAAATCAGCAAATGCTATTTGAATTTTTAAATCTCCTACACTAACTCTTCCATTACATGGGATTCAAAGGTGGAATTAGACAAGTAGTAATATGCCTAGAAAAACACAAAAACGGTTGTTCACCTCAGCATCATCTATATCAAAAAAGTCATTTGAGTCATCTAAAGAATTAGAAGTCATATCATCTTCTAAATGCAGCTTATCGGTTTGAAATTGAACTAAAACGCATAAATTATACAAATCTAAACAATAATTCTAGTGATAAATAGCAACCAACAGCACTTTGCAGAAAAATGATGATGTACTCTTCATAAAACTTTTGTTTTAACCAAATTATTCGAAAGCATGTATACTAGTTAGCTAACTACACAAATCAAAATTCAAATAATTTAGTTCAATTACTAAGTAAAACTTCAACTTTCACAAACTTGAAAAAATAGAAACATGGTCATTCCAGTTTCAACTTTTGGCAAGTAAACACAGTTTTCTATCTATTCTAGCAAGAAATTTGAAAATAATGGCACGTGCTCGAAACTTTTTTATAGGAAACAGATGTATTGTTGAACAAACAAGGAAAGAAGCGCAACAAAACAAACCTTTTTCATACAATCTTTCCCGTGAAATGTTTTCACTTGGGATTTTCGATAGGAGTCTCGGCACTACCTACAAATAAAATGAATGTGGTAAGAATATAATAAAAACAGAATAAAACGTACAAAACAGATAAAAGTTGACGAAAAGAAAAGATCAAGACCACACCTCCCCATTTATAAATAGGGGATTAGCTCTGAAGCCCGGAAACTCCAAAACTTTCCCGCAGATATTGCATGACCTTCACAAAACCAGCACAAAATAAAAGAAATTTATTTGCTTCATTATTTATCCACTGGCATAAGATTTCAGTACGAAAGAAAAAAGATCCAAATAGAAATCGAAATTCTACATTACATTAAATAATAAATAAAAAAAACCAACACATTGAAAATTTAATTAATTACTCGATTTCATCCATCTTCGCGAGTTGTGGAGACCTTTTTTTCCACAAGAGCTGCAAACCTTCATTGTGTATTCACTGTCAAAACAGGAGAAACTGAGATTTTCGACTATATATATATATATTATTTGGACGAGTGTTTCGAAACTGAGATTTTCGATTTTCTTACCTTTCTCAGCTAATATTCCGTTGTTTTCTCTGCAATCAAAACAGAAATTGTTCGCTTATAACATGGTTGAGAATTAGGGTTTAGTTAGACGGTAATTAGGGTTTTGAAAAGGAGGATATAATTAAATTGGGTTTGATTTACGCGAAATTGTGAAATTTTGAGGAGTTTCCCTAATTTGAATCAAACATTTTTTATTTGAGAAAAAGGAGCGAAACTTTAGAACGGCGTTGACGTTAACGTAACTGGAGTTATTGGTTTATCTTTATATGCTTATTTTTTTCAAAACAGAGAAAGAACCGTTGAAAATACAGTGAGACCAAAATAACCTTAACCCTTACCTTTCTTTTAATTTGTCTTTTGCCGACCAAAAAAGAGAGAGAGAACCATTGACACAGTACACATGCCAGAATGAGCTCTTAATAAAAAATTTCCTATACTTTAGCAAAATCTTTAACAAAAAGGTAATTAATGGAACAAAAAAAATAGAATTTTAATATTATTTTTTTGTATTAATAACGTATTAATAATCTAATCTACAATAATATAATTTAAAACTATAAAATTATTTTATGTTTTTTTATTCATTTTATTATTAATAATAATTTTAATCAAATATCTTTTAATTATTTTTTATTTAATAATTATTTCAATAGTATATTAACCAAACACATATTTTAATCCAACCAATCATAATAAAAAATAATTTTTTTAAATTTATTTTTTAAATTATAATTATAAAAGTTATTATAATATCAAATAAACTCAAAGTTATTTTAAAATATCTAGGTGAGACATCAGTTATTTAAAACACTTCTTATAATTAATCAAATAATATATTTTTATAATTAATTAAATAATATATTTTTATGGTGTAGAAAAAAAAAAAAACAAACAAAACCAAACACAAACTTATTCTAAGCTTTTTACTTATTTTTGTGTTTTAAAAGTGTTTTAAAAAAGTTTTAAATTTTTTTTATTTTGTATTTTAAATTAATATTTATTTGGTATTTTTTTAATTATTTTTGTGTACTAATATTAAAAATATTTTAAAAATAAAAAATATATTATTTTAATATTTTTAAATAAAAAACAATTAAAAATCAACTAAAATAACACTCCTATATTTTTAAATAAAAAAATTTTAAAAATCAACTAAAATAACACTCCTACATATATTCGTATATTTACCCAAAACAGCATCAGGAATGCTATTCAGCTCTCTCGGGAACACCCAAGCTCCTCTTGCCTCCCTCCACTATAGTACTGCCTCCCCCAAGTCTCACAACCAAAGATTTCTCAACGTGTCCATTCTTGTTCTACATGTAGTTCTTGACGTGTCCATGCTTCTCTTCATGACTTTTTGAATCCTATGATCTAGCCCCTCCTTTCCATTGTATACCCATCATCACTCCCTTTACTTTCCCTTTCTAAAAAGTTAAATTTCTCTCTCTAAAAATATTTTTATTTTATTACAACTTGTTAATTGATTTTTGTGAGTTACGACATGGATGCATGCAAAAGTGGTCATACCAAGTCATTGGTTTGAACCAATAACCTAACCTCTTTTTTTAAGTTTTGAGAACAAGCTATATAAATAAAAAAAATAAAAAAATAGTTTTCATTTCTTTTAATACAAAATTTTATGGATTTATTTACTTATGTCAGAATCAGGAATATTGTACTTTTTAGATTGCACTAAATTTACCAACGCTGAAGTTGGAAATATTCATAGACAAATATTCACTGACGCTAGAGTCAGGAAGATTATAGGAAGATCATAAAAACATAACAAAAACAAATCTTTGGCAATTTAAGATAAAACTAGCAATGCAACCTATCTTAGGTAAGACGTTTAAGAGGTGATAGTATTTTTCCTTTCGCATAATCAATCCTATACCAAAGAATCTATGTTGACCAGTTAGGGTTCCTAATGACCATAATATTAGGTGGCAACTCCTTGAAATAGATCGTTTCCTCTAAAAGAACAAGATGTTAGATATCTGTTTTTTTCCAGTCAAGTGATTAATTTTTAAAGGGTCGTCGCGATATCTGGGTGTGACAAACCTCTAATGCATTTTTCTTGTATATTTTGATTAGATTTTGACATATTTTGATTTTTTTTAATGAGGAATATATAAAATGTTAAGATCCACACCATTATATGGAAACCCCGGGAATATAAAGTTGCTAGAGATTTATTTCTGAGTGATAAAGTTGGAATCAATATTTCATGACGGGGTTAATAGGACATGTTGCAACAAGATTATTTAAGGTATAATTATTTGATGTTAATGTTGAAATTTTATGTGTTGATGTGCATATTTATTCATTGTGGAATTTGTGCTAGAATAAATATTTGCAATGACTTTTCTAAATTACTTGATAGGATTATATAAGATTGTTTTCAATTTCTTTTATGTGATTGTTTGGGGATTGATTTTTTTTTTTATTAAAGAATTAACTTGGGGATTGTAAGATTCTTAAATAGGTCTTATCTTTGGAAGTTGAGAATTTATTGTTTTCTACACACACACACATACTAGGTGTATTGATTATTTTCTTTATCTATGAATTAATCTAGGGATTGTATAATTCTTAAATGGGTCATATCCTTTAAAAGTTAAAAGATAATGAAGATGATCAATAAATTTTTTTATTTTAAAAATATTTAGTACTTTTTTATTATGTATGTGGATTTGGATTTATAGATTGAGAGATACTATTAATGATACCTTTGAAAGAGTAGTCTCCTGGATGAAGTTTATTGAACTCAGACATACCTTTGCAGATTGTCCCTGGTTTTTAATAAGTGACTTTAATGAGACCTTATCTAATTCAAAAAGAAATAGTGTTCTATTAGATAAGAGAGGGGTTTTAGAGTTCCAAGTATTTATTGATGGTTGTGATTTGGTTGAATACCCACTAAGGAATCACAAGTTCGCCTGGTTTAAAGGTGGCTCTATAAGCAGGTTGGATAGAGCTTTTACTCATACACAATGTTTGTCTCATTTTAGGTTTTTGAAATTGATACGTTTAGATCATGGTCTTTTGGATCATTGCCCCTTGCTTATTAGGAATGAACAAGTTTACTGGGGATGGAAACCTTTTAAATGTCTAGGCTTCTGACTCATGGCCCTTTCCTTCCATAACACCCTTAAGGTCTTTTGGGAGGATATTATACAAGATGTCCCTAGTGACTTCCAGGCGATCAGAAGAATCAATGCTTTAAAACTAAAGTTAGGATGGTTGAATAAAACTATGTTTGGGAATTAGGACTAGGCTCTACAAAATCTTTAGTCTTCTATCTAGAATCTCGAGGATCAGGTTAAAAGTGGAAGGTTGTTTGATTCTAAAGAAAAAGGCTATATAAGTTGAAGGGCAAACTATGAAAACTCTATATATATGTAGAATCTATATGGAGACAAAAGGCTAAACATTCTTGGGTCAAGTTGGGAGACAAAAACACTCATTTCTTTCACATCTCAACAAAGTTTAAGGGTTACAAAAACTATATTCTTCAGATAATACATAATAGGAATAGCCTCTTGAGTCCAGCTGAAATCAAAGCAGCCAAAGCATATTTCTCAAGCATTAACTCTAATCTGCTAATTTCTAGACCTATAATAGGTAATAAAGGTTTTATAAAGCTAAGTGAAAATAGGTTGCATGGCTTGAAAAAAAAGTTACTATAGAAAATGTTCATTTTGCCATCTTCAGCAGTGAAGGTTTTAAGGCCCCAGGCCTTTATTGTTTTAACTTCAATTTCTATAAGAAGTTCTAGGAGTTAATGAAACATGATTTATTCATAATGGTTCTTAAATTCTTCAAGAGAGATAAACTTAGTAAATGTATTAATACCAGTTATATTGCTTTAATCTCAAAAGTCATTGGCAGTTCCTCCTTTAATGATTTTAAACCTATTAGCTTACTGAATAGGTTATATAAGATTATTGCTAAGATTCTTTCCACTAGATTAAAAGAGGTTATATAGTGTGTGGTTAGTGTCTTCCAATCAATTTTCATTGCCGGTAGAAACATCCTAAACTTGGTGCTTATAGCCAAGTAAATGCTAGATTCTATGAAATCTCAGAGCTGTCAAGGATTCCTTCCTAAACTTGACTTTAGAAAAGCTTTTAACATTTTTTCCTGGTCTCACATTAATGATGTTATAGGTTACATGAACTTTGCTACTTAATGGAGAAAATGGGTTATGGCATGTGTTTCAACTACAAGACTTTCAATCTTAATCAATGGTTCCCCCACTTCGAAGTTCGTAGCTTCTTGTGGTCTTCAGCAGGAGGACACCCCCTCTCTTTTTATATTTCGTTTGGCTGTTGAATGTATCTTTGTTTTCATTAGTAAGAGTTTAAAAATTGGTGCTCTATATAGGATGGACTCTATAAGTGTAAAGGCTATTCATCATTTGCAATTTGCAAATGACATATTTTTCTTCCTACCAAATGATCTTCAATGCATATTAAATGTCAAGAGAATGTTAGGATAGTTTAACTTGTGTTCGGGGCTCAATGTCAACTTCCATAAGAGCAGTTTAGTAGGTGTGAATGTTGATGGGATATATGTTGAAGGGATTTCTGGTGTTCTTAGATGTAGATGTGATCCCTTTCTAATCAAATACCTGGGACTCCCTCTAGGTGCTAATCCAAATAAGATCTCCATATAGAAAACTGTTCTCTAATAAATTCAAGGGAGACTCAACTCTTGGAAAAAGAGGCTATTATTAATAGATGGGAGAGCAATTCTCATCAAAAATGTAATTTCTGTCATACCTCTTTATTTCTTGTCTATTTTATGCATCCTAAAGGCAATGGCCCATAAGATCATAGCAATGCAGTCTTGGTTTTTATGGGCTGGGAATATTGATAATAGGAAAATAAACAGATTAGCTTGGGAAACAGTGGTGAAAAAAAATACAGGGTAGGTCTTGGTGTTGGGACTATATTGACAAAAAATAATGCTCTTCTTTTCAAGTGGATTTGGAAATTAGAAAGCAATGAAAAAGCTAGTTGGGCAGACTTTATTAAAGAAAAATATAGACCGAAGTTCATCAATGGGATGCCCTAATTCAGGAAAAAAACTCTCAGTGATTTGGTAAGGTATCTACTCAACCATTACTAGTAAGAATCATGATAGCTCTCTTATTCGTGTTGGCTATACTCTTAAAATGGGTAATGGTAACTATGTAATTTTTTTGTCAGATACTTGGTTGACTAGCTTCTGT